TTGATGCTGTCTAAAGTTAATCATGACCACATTGTGAAGGTATTTTGTTTTCAAGTACAAGGTCTTTCATCAATTACATGGGTTTGCCTTTGCTAGTTTCATAACCTTTTCTATTAATGATTCAATACAAATAGTTTGGATATCACTAGACTGACAAATTTTTTAATTTAGTAACTTTTAAGCTTAATGACTCAGTGATAAGGATTTTATTTTTTGCTTAGGATGCATACTGGACGAATTTCCTATGTCAGGCCAAGTATGAGTTAACAAGTGGTCATATTATTTGTGTGGCTTTTTTCCCCCCTTCATATCTCACGAAACTTTGTTAGTCTAATTATGGAAACTACTCCAAAGCAACTACTAGTTAATTGTTTCTATATATTGATTAACGACTCCTGTCGATTGATGACTCGAGCTAAGAGTGCTGCTTGTTCAGTAAAAGAACACGTGTCATGTTGTTTAGAGAAAAGAGGTGTGATGGATAAAAACACTTCGATGCTTAAGTCAATCTTAAGTTATTGTTTAAATGAAAAAAATGGAAAGAGTTCTGGCTAGAATCTTAAAATTCACATGCCTTTGCATCATGCTTTGACCTTGTATTTATAGGTATTTGGATTGTGGTGGTTGGTGAGACTTACTGTGCTTTCTGTGCTGCAACCGTTGTCAATGCCATCCCAAATCACTATAACTTACCTCATCCCTGGAGATCGACTTTACAATGATGTTGACACATAAGTGTAGTAATTTGATAAAGAACAAGAAGATGAACTAGAAAAAGGGATCAAGAGAAGAACTGATGGCAAGAGAAATAGTTTTATTCATAATTTAGGGGGATATATTACATTTTTTCTTTTTTCTCTTTTTCTTTTGATAAGTAAGTGTATAGTACATTGAATAAACCCTCCATATATAGAGCAAGAAACTAAAAATAAGCTAAAACTAAACGAACTTGTACTAAACTAGAATTTTATCAAAATGTTCAAATTAATTTTATTAATCTATATATTCATAATTGGAATTAAAACTCTATTTTAAATCCTAATTAACTTGTAACTCTATCTCCATCAGATGTAGCAGTCGGACTCATGGTGGAGTTCTTAGGATTAGAGAAGCACTTGTCCTATTATGATCAACTTCCCTGAGGTGTGAATTGCGAAGCCAACGTAAAAAGTTTGGAGTCGAAGAAGAGGATCTGAGGGCTGGTTTGTATTCTTCAGTTGCTATAGATAGAGAGTTATTTTCAAAGTGACGCCACAAATTCAGTTCTATCAAATAAACAATGGGAAGAGAGATTTCGTTAATTGTTCTTATACAAATTAAATCAGAAAGTGTTATAAATTACACATAACCAAATTGATCGAGCACAAAAACTTAGGAACAAGGGGCAAAGTCGAAGGCATGATTGGCTAAATAATCTCTTTATTTGAATATTCTGCACTATTTTTTTCAGTTGTTGAGGTGTTTTGTTGCTTAAACAGTTTATTGGAGCCACCGCAGAACCAGAAATGATGATAATCACGGAATTAATGAGAGGTGGGAACCTCCAGAAGTTCATGTGGAGTACTCGTCCAAATTTCCTAGAACTAAACCTTTCCATAAAGTTTGCATTGGCAATTTCCCAAGCAATGGAGTATCTACACCAAAATAGAATCATCCACCGCGATTTAAAGCCTAGTAATATTTCTGTTCCAATTCATTTGATAAACTTCATGTTGTATATTTCATGGTATTCAACTGTTTGAGCATTTAAGCAAAGTTTCTTCATATGCTCTTTGATGTTTAACAAGACATCATTTTGAATTACCTATTTATGATCTTTTAATGGTCAATGATAATGATGGAAGTTTTTAGTTTTTAATGGGAAAATGAATGCACATATAAAATAAAGGCATTACATTTGACTAATTCATTTGTTTTTAGATGAAAACCAATCATTCTAGCTCACAATTACGATCTTTACATTGCATAGAAATTCACTTGACATCTATAGAAGAGGCCTTTGCTTCCTAGTTCCTACTGCTCATCGATATAATTCGTTTTTGTAATGTGTCAAAATTTTCACTCAACAACAATAAGCTATATGACTTATTCTCAATAAATTTGGTGACGGCTATACAAATACATTTTTCCCACACTTCAAAATTACTCACATATCTAAAAACAATGTAGAAAGCTGATTGAAGTTATTGGTATTATCATCGACAACATGTTAAATGAAATTATGTATATTTCTGTTTGCGTGTGTAATTCTAATCTTCTAGTTGCTTATATAACTTTCTGCCAACAATGTAGGCAATCTACTTCTCACAGAAGATAAAAAGAAAATCAAGATAGCCGACTTCGGTTTAGCGAGGGAGGAGATTGAAGATGAAATGACAACGGAGGCTGGGACATATCGATGGATGGCTCCTGAGGTAGTACATTAAACGCAAAAATATTTTATATTTATAAGATTATTACAAGTCTCTTGAACGTATTTTCTTAAATGGTCAGTTGTTCAGCATAGAAACTCTTCAATTGGGAGCAAAGAAGCATTATGATCACAAGGTTGATGTCTATAGCTTCTCTATGGTTCTGTGGGAGCTGCTCACTAACAGCACACCCTTCAAAGGCAGGAACAATATAATGGTGGCATATGCTGCAGCAATGGTATGTTCATTAGTATGTTAATTCTTATCTATAAATGTATAGTTTATTATCACTAGCACGTGACTACAGATTAGCATGATTGCCTTGCTTGAAAGTTACTTTTCTAATCATGTTTTGCAAAGTAAGTATATTTAACCTACTTTTTAACACTGCTAATATCTAGTTTTTGTCACTGTAATAAGTACTTCATACTGTTGCAGTCCCTTTTTTTTATAATTAAGTTGTTTTAGGCATATGTAAATTATGATGTTATCTTTTTGTTGTGCTTTTGTGAGCCTCGATAGTGTCTTGGCATGCTTAGTTTAAATGTTTAGACTTTTCTGAGTTACTGCAGCACTTTATTCAATTTCTGAACTATATATCTTATTGATGATCGGCATCTCCCTTCAATTCTAGAACCGAAGGCCCAGCATTGAAAACGTTCCTACAGAAATTGTGCCTCTCATACAGTCTTGTTGGGCAGAAAATCCTGAAGACCGACCAGAGTTCCAGCAAATCACCATTTTTCTGAAAAACTTACTCCACAAAATCTCCCAATTGGATGGCACATCAGTAATATCACCAACTTTGTTGGAGGCAGAATCTTCAAGAAACAAAGAGACTGAAGATTCTCCACCCACAGACTTCCTGATGTCCAGGTCCGAAGAAACGAAGAAAAGGTCAGGGATTCTGCGTTTCAGAATTCTGAGTTGTTTTGGTTGCTGTCTAGGTAACTAGTTTCAGTAAATAGTAGATGCAGTTATGCTCATTTTGTTTCTCAGTCAGAAATGTATACATATATAGTTATGAAGCCTATAGTTGTCAATTTTGTAGTGAGCCATGAACATGCATTGTACAGAAAGCTATGGAAGTAGTGATCTAAAGGAAGAATAGAATAATGGAAAAGGAAAAAATCTTTTGAGGTAATGGTCTATTGGTTTCCCTTTGCCTAGTCATTTCTTCTGTTCATTCAATTCTTTCATACTTTTCTGTTTACCCTTTGTGGACATCTTGCCATGCTAAAGTTCTACATGTCACTGGTTGATAAGGCTCTTTTCTTTTCTTTTTCTTTTTAATTTTTTAATTTTTTTGTACTACTCAACCCCAGCCTTGGAAAAGCATTCATATTATTTTTTTGTTATTGCGAACTGTAACTCATAAATTTATTGTGGAAAATGCCATATGTACAGGGTTATTGTCTATAGAATTTTTACAAGTGCTGCAGTGGCACTACATGATTGACAATTCTTTATTTTTTATTTTTCAACTACAAATCTAATCTCGACAAGTGTAATCCTGTAAAAATTCTGTAAGTCAAGCATGATTCATTTATTGTTATTGCGAATTGTTGATAAAAGCTCTCTTTTTTTCCTTTTTTTTTGGTGCTACTCAACTTGAGCCTCGGCCAAGCATTCATATTATTTTTTTGTTATAGCGAATTGTAACTCATAAATTTATTGTAATTAGATTGAGCTAAAGATACTTGTACGTTCTCCATGAGAATTTTCCAGGAAAAAGCACAAAGGAATTGCGTGGTTTTCAGCTATGAATATTTTCGAAAAGATATCATCTTATTATATAATAATAAAAAATTGACCCAGATTGAAAAAAAGAAAAAGACGAAAAAAAAAAAAAAA